CAMAMAATGKCGTCGCTTAACATTTTGCMYATCATTTTCCATCTTTTTGTCAGTAAAYTATCAATAAGATTATTTTGTCTGGAGTATTAAATTTGTGTCTCTATTTGTAGATGCCRCAYGAGTCAACCGTTGAACACACCGGCGAGCTTTTTGAGCCCACGCCAAGCAGCGCCATGGCGCCKAGAGGATTCTCCTTCTCCGACGACACACCGAGCCCTGTCCGAAGCCGAGGRTCCAACACYTCGATTGCAAGCAACAATTCAGTGTTCAGCAAGGGCTACGATCCTGTYCAAGTTAGTTAYTCTCTRGGRAATAGTTCYGACGATGAAGAACTGGAYGAAAGCAAAGGGAATTAAGAAATTAWTGGATTATGTACTGGGAAGAATACGCATTTCACAATTTCTGAGAAATGATGAAGAATTTGGCGATGTCRAATAGACAAATAATATTGRATTCKAATTCTATGCGGATGYGAGCRGGAATTGCATTTCCGACTCGCTTTCTTCACAGAAATTTCACATAARACCACATATCAGTGACGGCAAATTGATTTTATTTYTTGGGAGGTTTTCATGCTGAAGAAAACAAAATAATTATTACAATAAGAAAAAAAAGTATTTTTAAAATTTTAAATGTATATTGATAGAATGACATCGCTATTAATTCGTAACATTACGTATTTTATCGTTAATCTTTGCATTTTCGCTACAAGTGGATATTTTATTCGCTTTTTACGTACCATTTAAGTATAGACCTTGCATTTTACGTATAGACTAGCAAGCACATGATTTTTGAACACAGAAATCGTTTTTAATAGGTAAATATGTGTATATATAGTTATTGATGAGCGCTGTGAGGTTTTCGCACGTAGAAAGACGTTACGTAATGTATGACGTTTCCGCACGTTTTCGTAACGATACATGAGATACGTTTTTTATACGTACGGATACGTTTTTTTGCAGCTTCTCTTTTTATCGTAAAATCATATAAAAAAATTTATTCATTTATCCATGAAATCGTTAAATTACTACAATTTTAATTATTTAAATGCATACTTTGCTGTGATTCTGTTATTTTACCATGCATGTTCATATCTGCATGCATATAATGCTCAAGGGAATCTATGGCTATGCATGCAAATACTACTTCATATTGCAACCTAAAATACATTTGCATGATGCTTTACGTGCAGAGTCAAGATAAGGAGATTTCCTTGGACATAAACAATATTGCATTTTGATTAAGGGTTCACCAATAAAATGTATCAATTTCACGGGTTAAATGCCCTCGCTAGATCTAGAACTCCCTCGTCGTTTTCATTGTGAAATATGACAGAGCGAGAATAATAGTTGGTATCACGTCCAACTTTGTTCTTTACCAATAAACACTGACTAGATAGCTATTTTCAATACACCGTCAAATGAAAACGACTATTTCGTTTTCTAGCAATAAGTCATTTGTTTCACGGATTAGAGAGAGATTTTCCTAAACCCTTGAAATACACTTTACGCACGTCATATTTCATTACACTTTGACTATGACACTTCGTTTCACGGGTTGAGAGAAAACCGCTTTAAYGTGAGCACCTTTATAATTCAAAAGTTTTATTGTTCATTTAAATTAGGTAACTGGAATTTGCCTAAGACTAATAATTGTAAACGAAATTATATTTTAAAAATATTCAAGGTTCATGACATCTTTCTTCTTGTTTTTGTTCTCGGCTGTAGGCACGTTACGTCATGGCTGCCATGTTGAATAATGAAAATAACAAAACCGTCCTCCTAACTAGTTTCTCTTGTTCATTTCATTCAACATGGCGACGATTTGTTCGCGGGTTTTTTTTTTTCTTATCTTTTCTTTTTCTTTTACTTCCACAAGGCGCGTATCCGTATTTTCGAAGCCACGTTTTTTCCCCCATTGGGGATCACTGTTTAGACGGACCCTCCGACCGCATTCGAATATAATTTTTAACAAAGGCTATGCGATGGCACATAAAAATACGCGGTTTAAAAAATCACAGCCTCGCCGAGGACTATGGTCTTGTGGTTGCAGCCCAAAGTTCGACTCATTTCTMTTATCTCTGAACATGTCGTATCGATATAATTTTTTTATAGTTTTGATAGTCAGACTGGGGTAACCGCTTCCTTTGCTTTTCCCTCCGATGTTTGTCTGGAGCAATTGTAAACCCCAATTAGGAATACACTGCTGTAATTTGTTCGAGAATAATCCTTTCGAACCTTTTTCAATTTCAAATTGTTCTAGAACAARTGATCGTTGAATAACGTGGTCAATAGTCAAATTGTAGCAGCGCATTGGTTTTTTTAAACAAAATATTGGGCTAATGCAATAAAATGGAATGAAGAAAGAGAAGAGGAAGTGTCAGAATTAATGATTACACAGCGCAGCTGGCCTGTTTACTTTTCCCAAGTACCACATGATTATTTAATGCCCCCAGCGGCTTTATTATACCAATGGAATCTTYAATCAATAGAAATATACATATAATTGCAACACACAAGAACATTGCATCATGTGAAAACCATTTAAAAGTAAAGTAAGGAGCGCAAAGTTCCTCTTCTGTTCYATTCCAAAAAAACAATGTCAGAAAGAGACATCTCTTTAGTTTCACAAAATTAAAAAGAAAGGAAGCTCTCTGAAAAGCCCTGACAATTAAGTTATCAAAATAAGTCAGTTTTTATTTGCTCAAAGAAGTAATGTTTAATTTGTTTGACTCCCTGCGTAAGTAATATCACCATGCATCTGTTTTCAACTATCCCATTTTGGCAATGACAAGATCGGTTCACTCAAGAATTCTTAGAAAATCTTCTTGAAATCTCCCATTTGGTCTTCCTTGCTTGTTTTGACCGRAATGAGGCAGGTATAGCGTGCCTTGCAGACCAAGAACTAAGGCAGGTTATACAATGATGAAGAAGTTGTGGCAATTAGGATCACAGAGAARAAATCTTGCTCATATACCAACYTTAACGTTTTTTRTACTGCTCAAATTTGGTAAGTTGTTATTTTGTATTTATTTTATTCTTTATATGTTGGTCAATCAAGCGAAAGGCCCAAACACTTGAGTTAACCCTTTAAAAAGTTACTCTATAGAATATTCGGGTATGCTCCGATATATCAGGGCCACAGTACAAATACTATTTCAACCAATGACTCAATAAAACCATTTCGTTATAGAAGAAGTTAAGTACAACTGATTTTAGGAATTTTGACTATGGTTAAAACTGAAATTTGATTTCAATGAATTTCTAGATTTTCATGTTGAAGTTTAATCATATCCTAACGCTTGAAACTTTAAAATACTCAATAAAACGGAAAACTTAAAAAAAGGAACTTTCAATGTTTCCTCTGTCATCAGTGTTTCTCACTTGCGCAATAGTACTAATGACACCACAAGACACTTAAATCATCTTAAATGTACACAGAGGCAAACACTCGTATATTGCTTGGGAGTTTGTGAATAAACGTAACTCACGTCCCATCTTCAAGACACCAGCGCTCTAACAGTTTTTTAAAACTGCTAAAACAGAGAGAAACATTTTCATTTTTTTGTTTGTTTGTTTGTTTCACTGGACCCATTCTTTCAGTATTTTTAGTTCGTTACTGGCCGAATCTAACATGTTGTGAAGTTATTTGGAAAGGTTGTATATATTAAGTTGAAGTGAAAAGATTACAAAAAAAATGCACTGTCACTACTGTACATGTGATATTCTGCGTTTAAAACTTGTCGTTAATTGAATATTGAAATGTTTAACACATTTTCTAATTGTATCATGAAGTTAAACTTGAATGGTCATTCATTTTATGTTGAAGAAATTAGATTGTCTTGAACCTATGAAAGCTGAGCTTAATAAAGCCCTCACTTCAATCGATGAATTTRATATCTGGTGAATSCAGTGTTTCTGCTCATTATTTSCTATCCTCACAATTGTATTGAATTCGGCACGTGTATGGGCTCGCCCACACTGATTCATTTTCAGTAGCGTTTTTGCATTTTCTTCTTCCGCATTAAGGCAATGAAAAGCAATGATAGTGCAACATTATCATTTGGCTAGTCAAGAAGAAAGTCGACGTTTGCATGATTAGTGAAGCCTCTTTTTATAATATCTAAGCTCACAGAAAGATAATATTCCACATATCTAAGTTTACGGTGAGAGTGAGCGCTGCTCCCTTGAAACACCACTSTAGCGTTTAAAACTTCTATCTAAGTTTACATAATATTACCATACTTTGATTTTCCATATACAATTACCAAACTGTCGGTGTATTTGCCATCAAGGGCCTCATTTATCCTCCTAACCATTAACAATTGATAGACAAAATTACTGGGGTCTTAGTATGTCTTACACTTATCCTCTTAAAATTGTGACAATTTAAGGAAAAAATGGTCAGATTAACGACATTGTGTTAAACGACTTTCCGGCTATCCCTTCATGGCCCTTCAAGTGTCTCAGATTTTTTGTCAAGGCGAAGGCCAGGTGTGCAGTGATCGTTTCGAAAGTAGGAGATATCCTTAAATGAAAAATCGCTGTCGGTTTCATATCCGCTCTAAGCTAAGACCAATCGGAGATTTTCTACTCGGAAAGTTTAAAGCATATTTGACTAAACATGTACATGATTAACATTTCTGGTTGAAAAAAAATTCCATGATTAAGAAAATGCTACTAGTCTCTATAATATCAAGAAACCTGTTTTTCAAGTTTTCAAGTCTTTTTTTTTCTGAGACTAAAGCAACCGATTAGTTTTCGTGTTCGCGCTCTCAAAACGCCACTATACGTACTGTAACGTATATGGATTTAATTGCGTCACACGTACGGTAACGTAGATTTAATCCCAGAGTACGTTCGGTTAAGCGGTTCGATTTAACTAAGTATCTGAGGCCTACGTAAGTAGATTTAACAATGTCACACGCACGAACGGTAACGTAGATTTAATCCCAGAGTACGCGTAAGGCTAAGCGGGTCGATTTAACTTAGTATCAGACGTACGTAAGTAGATTTAACAACATCACACGAACGAACGGTAACGTAGATTTGACTAAGTTTCAGTCGTGCGTAAGTAAATGAATTTAACAACGCCACATGTACGTACGGTAACGTAGATTTAATTACGTAGTATGTACGGTATAAAACAACTAAGTAATGATTACGTAGCGTAGGTATGCGTCGGCGATGAATAAACCATTCCATCAAATCTTTCATGATATTTTCTTCATTTTTGAATTCACAGTCTTGGTCAATGGATCTTGCCCGACCAATTGGACAGAATGGAATCTTCARTTCTGYTATCATRTTTATGGAGATCCGAAACCATGGGATACGGCTAAAASATACTGTGAAAATCTAGGTGGACACCTCGCGTCCATACATAGCGACGASGAAATGAGCTTTTTGTCTACGTTAATTAAACTTTCAGGAAAGGAATCAGAAAACGTTTGGATCGGTTTGAACGATATTTCTAAGGAATTGGATTTCCATTGGAGCGATAAGTCGCCATTTGACTATTCTTACTGGAGAGTAACGCCCTCTAATCAAACCCAAGAGAACTGTGTCTTCATTCTATCAGAGAGTGCTGGGCAGTTCGAATGGTATGTGGGGGCATGTGGCATTTGGTGGCCGTCTATTTGCAAACGAACTTCTACAATTGATGAAGGTTAGACTACAAAAGTTATAAAAAAGTGTTACATATATATTCTTATAGAGCTGTGAAGCTTTTGCGTCATGTACCGTTACGCAGTGCATTGTAGGATATGTTTGGGACAGAACATGGCRGATTTCGTTTGTTTTCTCTAGAAACGWATCACACAATGCATTGAAAATCAAGTAGTGACGTAAAAGGTCCAGAAGTCTACTTCAATAAACTAATTCGATCTGATTTCTTTTTCCTCAAGACAATCGACGTCAAATTTATTCAAGTTTGAAGAACAAGATGTTGTTCAACCACGTGCTTAGGGCCCAAAATGCTTCCTCGTTGCTGTATTGCTCTTCTCTGTGTTTGAATGAAAACAATTGTAAATCGTTCAGCTATGGAAACAGCGCGTGCTACTTAAACAATGCGACCGATAAAGACTTTCCTGRCGACCTTGTGGAAAAGGAYTCCTTTGTTTACGCAGTACCAATTAAATGAATGTATTTCTTGTAAAATATTTCCATTCACTGGTGTAAAAAGATGGTCGCTCATTCATACAAGCGCGCAAAGGACTATCCGACGATACGCGCAATGCATTACTTTCCATGCACGCAAAGCAGTATGGTTGGACCATGTTCGCAATGCATCATTGGACCATGTTCGCAATGCATCATTAGACCATGCTCGCAATGCATCATTGGACCATGTTCGCAATGCATCATTCAAACATTGTACAAACGTACGCAGAAAGCATCTTTTGACACTGTAAACAAAGTATTGATATTCCTATGCGAGGCTAAGCATAACCCTGACGATTCGCGACCAAAGTGTAATTGGCTAACATGGTATGACCATATGGAATTGGATGGCCTGTGATGCATTTTAACCAAATCATTTAATTGGTAAAAATAACCAATTACAATGGTCATACCAACAATATATTATTGGTCAACGTGACCAGTATATATTGGGTCGGATCAACCAAAAGAATACATTGGTCAAAATGACCAAACTCGAACTGGTTGCCTGGGATGCATTGAAACAACCAATTTTTTTGGTTATTTCAACCAAGTATTTTTTTACAGTGTGTAGCTTTTTTTCCACGCGGTAAAGGCATTTGCGGCTCGATCTTCAATGTTCAATGTTATGCTATGCATAATTCCACCATTGTACACAATGCTCTAGGGTRAGCATTCCCACAATGCYTTGCTYTATCAGGCGCGCAAAGGATCTTGGTGCCATGGGCGCTATRTTTAAAAGCTATAGTCAGTGTTACGTGAGGGATATTTTCGAATAAAATGTTCCTAAGATAAAAATATAGAATGTTGATAATTGGATGAAAGAATAAAGGATTTATGAATTGATCTTGAAAAACAAGAAAATATTGTTTTTGTTTTATTCAAAGATTTTTTTCAATTGTTATAGTTTGAAAATATAGCCATAATTACTAAGTCTTCACTGATTCGCAAAGCACCAGTGGTAGTGAKCGCAAAGCATTATTGGACAATGCGCGCAAAGCATCGTTTATTTATCAAMAATTGATCTTTATGTTTCCTGAAGCTTCCAGTGTTCAAAGCATCCAGAGAGATTGAGGAAGTTATTTCCAAGATAGCTAGCGCAGGAATCTTATTCCAAAAGAAGGTGACTGGATACGTTCTCTGCGCCATTGTCGTTCAAAGTTATCTTCAAGGCTATCGGACAATGATTCCACATTACTTCTTTATTCTTGCCATGCGTTTCTGAGTTGCATGAAGCCATTCGATGTTCTCACTCACTTTGGTCCTTGCTATATCCAGAAAATAGAGTTTCATAATTGTTTCTTGGAGAAGCTTCCAAACTGTCGCAAAAGTATCAATATGAAATTAGATTAAATAAATTATTGATTCATATAACATGAGGAAAGGAAAGACTATTAACTATGGATAAACTCGTGCTTAAGGGACGCAATCGTTTTCATTTGACCGTGCATTGAAAATGACTRTTTAGTTRATATTTATTAAAAACCGAGAAGAAAACAGCAGTTCAAAGAGCGCAATCTCATTAATTTTCATTAGCACGCTGGTTAAATGAAAACGACTTTAAACGGTTGCCCAATAGCTTCCATATATAAAAGACACCATACATTACTCGGCTATAATACGGAACGTAAGACACGCGTGCATCAATCTTYACTTCGAGCTCTGGGTACTGTAGACTATGTTTAGGAGACGTTTTATCTTCTACCATGAGAAAACAGTTTACCTTCATTTGAACGACTGGGATGAGTAAACTACTTCCCAAAAARCCAACTAGTAGAGTCATGATACCAAAGAATTTTCCAAGTATTGTCGATGGGACCATGTCACCGTATCTGAGAATATATCAAAACGCAATTCACTTCTCTGTATTTAGCTACATATACTTGTGAAACTGCGCACATTCTGTCGATACAGGATGAGAACATAGTAATCCTCTATTAAATGACTTATATAATAACATCATGGAAGCAAAATTCGACGAAAATTGCAACTACTTTGTCGCTTTATGTTATATACTAAGAGCAGGAAATAACGATTTTTCTATGCCCCATCCATATTTGGTAGAGCATTCTGGGAAACGAAGAGGTCACTCAAGAAGGGGAAGAACATTTTTGCATATGATTCTCAGATCTTTTCTGTCATGTTCTGATAAAAATGTCCTGGAAAAGTTTCGCTCAATGTGCGCACACTCGGGTTAACATATACAAAAATGTACACGTTTACGCTCTGTTTTTGTTGTTGTTGTTGTTGTTTTGTTGTTGTTGTTTTTTTTAATTTATTATTAACGATATATAATGGTTATTTATGATCAGAAATTAGGTACTATGTACTGAGAAAGCATAGTTTGTGTCAACTGAATTATCATAATATCTTGCATGGTAGTGATTATTTTGGCGGGAAAAATTCGCCCGAGTGACCTTGGTTGGYGYGGTGTACACGAATCATAATTAGCTGTTTAGTCTTTCCTATCACTATATAACAAAATAATGATTAAATCTCTCGCGGAAGTAACCTATATGAAACTGAGTAATCATAGCAGAGAGACACAACAGTTGCATATAGCGGTGATTTGTATACATGTTTCATTTTAGTTCTAGCGTCAATTTGCTTATTAATTAGAACCACAGATTTGGTTATACATTGCGGTTTTCAATAAAGGTTTCTTTTATGAATGGTGTCATTCTTCGTGGTTTGTTGTATCYTTCGGATTTTTTTAAAAAGAACGATTGTTCAAATGTTCTATTTTGAAATTAACTATATTATGAAGTTGGCTTTAGTGACGCAATTTTTTACCCCTTTCTGGGATCTTTTGGGATCTTTGATTCGATGGAATCCACGAGAATCGAACACTCGTCGTGAACTTCACACCGCAAGATCTAGATCARGCTGTACTTAGTACGTAAATAATCTTGATGTCCATTGTGTAATTCCAGTACATATCAAATTAATTAGGCACTAATTYAAAATTGACATATTTAGAACAAAATCATACTCTGATCAAACGTTCGATTTAGCAGTTCGGTGGCTAATTTGATATTTTTTGCTTGTTTGTTGTTTTAACAGTTGTTGGTAATGGTGTTTTTGTTGTGTGATTATGTTATGCATAAAAAATGGATAAATCTGTTCTGAGCAAATTCTAGAATCATTAATTTTAGATTATAGGTCGAATATAAGATTAAGAGAGGTAATAGAGGATAAATTTCTTAGTTTTTTTACTTACCCTAGACTTGTGATAGTGACAGCTGTATACCACATCGTTTCTGGTATGCTTCCAAACGCTGTTTCACTGTTTGTTTGCTCCATAAAAAATATAATCGTCGAAAACACAGTTAAAACCATTAATAATCCAAAAAGTACAAAAAACACTTCGGCACCTGATCCTCCATCCTTAAAAATAGATCCTCCCATAGTTTTCAACCTCTCTGATCGCTTTGCAAGCTTGATAATACGAAAAACTCGAAAAAGTCTTAGAATTGCTATGAACGAGAAATCATCGTATATTCTAAAGACGTATTTTAATGTTATTGCTATGTAGAACGGCAGTAGGGCGAGAAGATCAACGATGTTTAGAAATCCCCKCACGAATTTCAATCTTTCTGGCGCACAGACGAGTCGYACAACRTARTCCACAGTGAAAGCAGCTACGCAGATCGAGTTGGCTATAAAGAATATATCCTCATATGCTTCGCCGCATTTTATGTTCACATCACAGGACACTGTTTCAAAGGCTATTAAAACAACACTTAAAACTGTAATGATATGGATTACATTTGAATAAAGCGAAGCGGCCGAAGAATATTCGTCGTTGCTRAAGAATTCCCAAACTTTCTGTCGAGTTGTTTGCGGTATATACTTGACGTGTTTTTTGCCCTGAGCTTGCTCGATGCGTTTATCGATTATCTGTTGAATATTAAAACTAGTTTCTTCTTCACAGCACGTACAGTTATATATATCACTTGTTGGGATCCTAAAAAAGTCCAACTCGTCCAACAGCCCTGTAAAGCATTCCTCATCGGAAACGTGCAGTCGTCCAGTTCGACAGTAATCGAGCACATAGCGGAATGCGTCGGGATCCCGATCGAAAAAGTACTCTTTCTTCTCTTTGTCATAGTAACTATACTTCCTTAGATTACCCAGCAAAGAATATGGAAATTTTTCAAAAACATTTTCCTTGACAATAAACTTTCTTCCACCTACATTGATTGTAATTCTTTTCGTTAGAGGACGGCGATAGCAAGTCCAACGAACGTGTGCAGTTTTTACGCCCATAGGATTAGAGGAATTGAAGCCAAGGCAATCTTGTTCCATGGAGATGAGACTGGAGATATCGACTGCACTGGAGTCGTTCCAGTTTTAAGTCTTTACGGTCTGTGAATATCTTGCTTAGTCTCATTTATTATGCATATGATCGCTGAATAATTATTCCCAACACTTTCTGAGTATCATACTGAGAGTGCGAGCACCAGTGAAACATATTCCTCACTATTACCCTGCACCCAGTATTTTAACGAGTTATCATTTGAGCTATTGTCCGTGACATACAATTTAGAGGTTGGCATTGGTCTAATGTACTAAACACTAAGAATAATGCTTTGCGGGCTMAATTTTTCTGATSTGAGATCTGGGAAGTACTGAATTTGAGAAGTCCTGACTAACTCATAGGCGAAAAATACTGTTTTTTTTTCTCTCTTGTTATGAGAATGTTTGTGTTTAATTCGATATTTTTAAAGACTCTTAGTATCTGGTATTTACATCTTTAATATTTAACTAAGCGCAGGTGCTAGTATTATGCAGTTTCTGCTATTCTTGAGGATAATCTTAGTAAGGTCTATCCCTAGATGATGGGTTTATGTAAATACTGTGATCGCTACTCAATTTGTAAGTCTATATATCCTATTAAAAAACATTACAAGTCCACACAGAAATTCAATTAAATAAGAACATCTAAAGTCGGGACATTAGGTAATAACYTGTCATATTGATACGGTGCTTTATTGTTTTGAAATATTTACAGTTCTATGCATTTTTCTTTTTAGCACTTATCCCAAAATGAGTCATCCAAAATTTACTTAMCAACATTAACAAGTTAATTCAAATGTTCTATATACATATGTAGGTTTRCGTATTTTTTATCTTTTTTTCAACTGTTCGGCGTATAAGATAGCAATAGATTAAAGTTAGAACGATGTGGGATTTTGATGAAGCAATTTTAATTCCTTTAAGATATAGTTCGCAGCTGCAGTCCTTGTATCAATGACAGTTATCACGCGTTCGAATCTACCAAACCAAATGCCATCCAGTTATCCAGATAGACTTCATTTTTCACCTTGAACACCAGACCTACTCGTTTCTCTATGAATGCGGTTGAATTTTCATTATATTACCAACGATTTCCTTGTCGCTATTCTCCMGTTCAAAAGCAACAGACTTTTTGTTTAAGGTGGCGCCCCGGTTATGTACAACGCTTTTATTCAAAATAACCACATTCCTTGGCTTTCAAGACCAATACAAGGGCAGGTATATTATAAAGGTCCTCGTATCATGCTGAGCGGGCGGACGTCAGCAAAATTATAATGATTAATTCTTTTGCACGCAGTATCTTTGACTCCTGATAAAAAAACTTGAGTACAAAGAAGCGTTAGTCTATATATCGAAAAAAATTTTACTTTGTCATTTTGAATATTATTGACTTATAGCTAACAATGACAGTCTGAGCATTAGAGGGTCAAAAACGTCTGAACTTGTAGACAACACAAAACCGCGTCTGCATATCGTAAAAAAYGAGGTCGAAAGATAAGAATCATTACTCTTAATAAGAGTTTATTGTGTTCAAGATAAAATGATTTTCTACCAGATACAATACAGTTATGCCAATGGTGCGTGGTATATAGATGTCGAGTCTAGTGGCTTTAGTCTTTACATCTCAAAATGTAGGATGGGTTGATCAAATCGTTCTTTGGCAAAAAAGATGAAACTCGCGTATCATTCAAGAAAATTCTAAATTYATAAGTTATTTTATCCCTTAAAACTCTTTTACATCAACATTAGACATTTTTACACCAAGAKTTTTTTGTCACTTTTCTTTGAACTGGATATTAGTATTAAGGAACAGCCCAGTAATTCAAATAAAAAATAATAATTTATGCACGTCACCTGTGGTGTCAATCAAGCAAGAACCAGTAACCAATCGATTTATTGAAAAACTGGAAGGATACCTTTTTACCTGCTGAAGGGTAGTTAATCTTTTTTCTGACTGTTTTTCAAATGTAAATAAGGCAACACCAGTTAATAGGTCGCCTCCTGCGTTTATAGGATTGTTTTGCATATTAAACTCAGTATACTAAATTGTGGAGCTATAGCTGATGTATCGTGTTCAAACTTTACTGTCAGATTACGGCCTAAAACAGAGTATGAAATTCCAATTCTCTATTTTCATATTTTTATTGGACGAGCTTATGAAGCTGATTGTGACTGACATTTATACCCAAATATCTAAACTTTATTGTATTCAAAATGATACTCAGTATGTGGGACAGACAGACAGTTTGACTGACTTTGATGCACCGATTCAACAATACAACTGTTTGAATACTTYTATTTTATTTATACCACAATATGAGACATTTTACATCAAAACTCAAAGGCGACGAAATTAAATTTAATGAAAACAACTTAACGAATGATAAACAAAATCATTAAGCTAACTACACCATCACCAGTAGTTTCTAAAGTTTGAAAAAAATAATTCTACGTAGGTAATGATATCTAAGTTCTCTATAAAAAATACTTCGATGATATACGAATAAATAAATTTAAATATACAAGATCTAATTATAGTAAATTAAGTGCAAGTAATTTTAGCAAACAAAATTTATATTTGTAACTATTAACTTGCATGTTGTGTGCGCTGATTGGCTAGCTCTCATAATGTACTCCTCTTAATTGGCCAATCAGAATGCGCGTTACAAAAGCTATTTTAGTGTTATGTTATTATTCCCTGCTTTTTGCTAGGTGAATGATGGCAGAGTCATCCATCAAAACGAGACGCGACCACGTTGACCTTGCAAAGATAGTCTAGTATTTTAGCTGATATGAATGGTATGGGTATACGTTATTCTTAAAACTGTCTTGTGCATTCATAGAACTGATCATGACAGATTACGCCTGATATAATAAAACCTCCATTCCAACCAATCACAATAACGATACTTTCGCAAATGTTCGCCTCTGTTTTCCACCAATCATAGCACGCGTATTATTCAAATATATTAAATTGGTCACTGCCCTTCCATCAGTATTATCACTGATAACCGCTTGAGCTCCTCTARAGGAACCAATCATAACACGCGTACTATATATGTTTTACTGTGTCATCTCTCAAACATAGTTAAGACCTCATTTGATTTACTAGTAGGTGGGTCGTTGGGTATTCCATTGATTTCGACATTATCAACTTGAACTTCTTTGGAGGAACCCCGTATCTTATTATAACACCAAATCAGAAAGAACTCCAAAAACTCTAGCACAGTGAGCAGGCTCATGCCAAGGAAYAGACCAGTGTACCCACCGAGATTTGCTAAAATAAAATAATATTATCATTAGTTACTTTGATTATATCGTTAGTTTTCAGACTGTCCACAGTAGRGCCCGAGTGAGCGATCTAATTTTCTAGTAGACTACAGAAGCAGTGYATATTGGGTGTATCYCAGTCTCCCAGTCGTTACTCTTCTGTGATACATTTCGTCTATTTTCACTATGATAGTAAGAACTTACCCAGTAACGCCCAAGTGTCATAGACTGGTTTCTGTTGAATATGGGTGTATGACAAATCTTCGAAGAAAATATCAATAGCAGCCAGGTTTTTCCTGAAATGGAAAGATAAACCATTTATCTTATGGTACATCAGTATTCGGTAGCACTACGAGGGCATGTAGGCGGACAGACGAATGAATTGAAATTCATGGATAAATGATTATGGATGGATGAATGAATTAAAGAGAGAACTAATAAGGTTTATAAAAGGATTGTTTGAATAACCGTAAATGGATGAATGTTCGAGCAATCTAACTTGAAACAAACCTGAATGAACGAACGAAACCTGCTAAAGAAATTCATGATTGAATGAATGGACGAATTAAAGTATACATGCATCAGTACTTTCRGAGGACAATGCGTTCGCCATCTTTAAAAGTGAGAACCGAATTGCTATGTTGCCTTAGAACACATTTCATAGTTGCTAAGTCAACTAATTTATCATTATCTCTTATTACATTAACTTGAAACTGGCTGAGAAGCTTTTAATTCCTTTAGGAGTTATAATTAAGTGATTCGAGTCTCGGTTTTCAAGATGACAGACGCATTGTGGTTCTCCGAAAGTACTGTGGACAAATCAAGTGTATTGCTACATATACACAGTTGGTTGAATGTGCTTAACAAAAGTTATGGTCTTACTGCAAATAGACTTGCATCTGCTCGGGTGTGTAATTTGCTACCGTAAATGATTTTCTATCTTCCTCATTTAAAGTTTTCAAATACTCTGGTATGGTCCGGCTCACGGCGCTGCTGACTGCACTGGCATAAGACAGCTTGGTATTATACTGTGTCASMTCACATGGACTTGGGCAACTTGTAGCACAGCTCGATACTTTGCTTGGAAGTTTTCCTGTGYAATGAACAAAATGATAAACGACTCATTATGTTAGGAAATATATACTTTAATGGTACCGAATAAAATATAGGTTGCAGATGTACAAGGCGAGGATCCCCGGACAGGATCGAAGATCCTTGTTCTTGTTGTAGACTTGCTCTAGTTGGTGACCGTTGAGGGATGACGTTGAAACAAACAAAAAATGTAAAATTGACTTACCGTTCAATGCTGGATAAACACAATCAAAAGCATCTTTTATAGAACATAATTCGACTCCAGCTATAAGAAAAAACAAA